ACTGGAGGTTCTGTAAAAAACAAATGCGTGCACAGATTCTTCAGAGTTTGCAAGCACTATTATAAGAAATGTGTAACCAGTAAAGGATTCAGACTGTAATTAGCAAGCAACATGCCTACATATCGGATAAAACTACAAGTTGTAAAAAGGCATCTTAAATACTTCCAGTACTATAATTTATTAATGTAACCCATGTTCCCAATATCATCACCTTTTTGATGATAGGTGTCCTGAACACTGGTTTAAGGGTGATTGCAGATTTACTTTATCAGGGCTTGTGACCAGTGGTCATTCACTGGTCAGTGAATTATGGTAAAGGTAACCTTCTTAATGTTGCATCTCAACCATCGTTTACCACTTCTACAATCAATTTCCTCTCTAATAGGATCTAATGTAACATCAATCTTTCTGAACATAAATAGTATATTTTCAGAAATACCTGTTCTGAAACAGTGCCTACATTTTGCAACATAGCATTTGCTTATGTTAATAGTAATAATCAATAATAATTCCTTACACTTATATGGCACTTTTCTGGACACTCCACTCAAAGCATTTTACAGGTAATGGAGACTCCCCTCCATCACCACCAAGGTGCAGCCTCCACCTGGATGATGCGTCAGTACGCTCACCACATGTCAACCATCAGTGTAGAGGAGAACAGAGTAATGAAGACAATTCATAGATTGGGATTATTAGGCAGCCATGATTGGAAAAGTCCAGCAGGAAGATTGACCCTGGGGTTAACACCTGTGCTCTTTTTGAGAAATGGCCTAGGATTTTTAATAACCACGGAGAGTCAGGACTTCAGCTTTACATCTCATCTGATGCAAGGCGCCTTTATTACAGTATAGTGTTCCCGTCACTATACTGGGGCATGAGGACCCACGTAGACTGTAGGATGAGTGCTCCCCACTGGTCCCACTAACACATCTTCCAGCAGCAACCCTAGCTTTCCCAGGAGCTCTCCCATCCAGTACTGAGTATGAGCACTGGCCAGGCTCACACCTGGATTGGAGACTTCCTGGGAATCCCATCCCCTGCAGAAAGAGGTGCTAGTGGAACCAGTAGGGAGCGCTCACCACCTGTCCAGGCTTAGCTTCAGCGGGCTGCCAGTTGTCAGTTGCAGAGTGATATAGCTGCTGGCTTATGTTGGTAGCAGATCTTGGCACTGCCGGCCAACACAAATAACTTCTGTGACTCACTGTGATAATTTCTCTCTCTTGTATTAAACAGACCTACCCAAGCAAAGATGATAAACATCTAAATCATATATACAACAAATGTACATATTAATTGGTAAGAATTCAAAACTTTTAATTGAATATATGCAAATCACCCAATTTTAGACTTCAGTTGTATATCTAAGCACGATTCAACTTTGACAGGGCTTAAGATTTTAGAATGTTGTATTTTATACTCTAAAGAACAGAATGGATTATTTCTTTTATATAACGCTTAACTTGTGGAAAATTGCGCTGAACAGAAAAAAAATCTTTAATTCATTAGTTAGACTCTTAAAACAACAAAAAGCGCCACACACACCACCGTCATGAACAATTTACTTAAAGAGTCAGTTCCTGCGTATTTGCATATGATCATTACCACATGTTTGTCACCAGATGCAGATGCAGCACACACTTATGAGACCTGGACCCATTCTTGAGCGAGTTGCCCAGGTGGTCCTGGACAGGCTGATATTATCCTGAGCATGGTCAATAGGATTCTGGTCAAGAGGCCTGGCTGACTAACCATGCCTCTGGCATCCTGATTAAAATCAGCTATTATGGTGCTTGCTCAGTCTAGAGGGGCACTGCCAAAATGAACTCTGAGCTGACTGCAGCAGCATAAACTCTTAATGTTGGGTTGAATAAGATCTTATTACTCAACACTTCAAGCATGACATCTTAACAGCTTAGTAAGCACCTTGTAGACTTCGGAGATCTCCCCAGTTATCGGAAGCTAGGTTAGGCTGGGTGTGTTAGGCCTGGTCAGTACTGGAGTGAGAAGCCTCAAAGAAAATGTTGCTGCTGCAAGCGGTGTAGATGGGCCAGCAGGTCCAGAATTTTCAAATCTGGTGACCTGCATTACAGAAGCTATCATCCTTGGAGCCATTCATGTACTGTATTCATGTCATTAAACCCAGGTACTGACTAATGAGTTAAGATCCCTTGTTCCTACAAGAATTTAACACTCTGTACAGACTAAATTCCACTCTAGGCTTGAATAATTGTTCCTAATTGTTCCCTCTAAATTCAGTTGAATTTTTCACTTCTCTACGGGATCTGCTGTGTAGTATGGCTGCTGCACATTGCCCACATGGATGCCGCACATCAACGATGGATGAAGGCTGTTCCTTACTAGCCCTAAAATGCATGGGGATCTTTTGGAATGAATAAATAATTCGCTGAATTATTTCCAAATGGCACAAAGGCTTGTACTGTTTTGCACATTGCAAAATGATACGGTAAAAAAAAAAATGACCATATTCCTATATCATTCAAATTGTGGGTAAGGCGCTGCTTGTGTGCTTTTATTTTCTTAATAAAGCAAAGAAATTGATGAAATATTACACTGACTGAAAACAGAATATAGTGCTTTTTATACCCATGTGATTAGCAAAATACCATACTAAGTTGGCATGCTAAGACAAAATGCCTAAATGCTACATGCTGCAATATATCTTCCAATTTTTATTTTTAAACAAAATATTCTCTGCCAGTCTGAATCTGGCTTATCCAAAAGAATTTACCACCACGCTGTGACATTTTTGAATTGTTTAAAATACCAAGGAAATTACAACACATTTCTGTTAGAAAAGCTGCATGTGGGAAGGTAACATAAGAATATGGAGTACGACGCTTTTTTCAGAGCTGACCAAAAAACTTTAAGAACTGGAGATTGAACTTGGAGATTCAATTTCTACTTATTAGTAAATTTGAGAAAAAATATTTTATGCAGCAGGTACACTGACATTTTGTTGAACAGACATGACTCGGCATAGTACACCTGCTGTCTAAGATTATATATTTGGCTGGCGCTTTTATCCAAAGCCATTTACAGTACATTTGAACCCATATATACACACATTATGGTATTTTATTGTAACAATTCTAGCAAAGTACCTTGGTCAAGGTTATGACATCTGCAGCTCACCTGTGATGTGAACCCATGACCTTTCCAGTTATGAGTACACAACCCTAACCATTGGTCCACACTACTGCCCCATGTCTGCCTCATTCCCCCTGTAGAGCCTAGATGCCCCTTGTTATTCCAACTCAAAGTTGCAAAGTTCAATGGAGCTTAGGTCTGGCTAGAAGGGTCTGTCTGTGTTTTATGAGTTCTGCCAGTCTGTTCCACACTTGTCAATATTTATTAGGTTGGTGTACCTTGATTCACTGTTAAAAAGGACTTGGCTCCAAACAAAATTTCAATAGCACAAAGGTCTTGTTCCCTTCATAAGTGCAACATATTGGATCATTTCTTGATTTTCACCAGTTAATATCAATGCACCCTGTCAACTCTCTCATAAGGTTCCACATTCAGGAATGAATTCTCCCATGGGAATCGTAGCTGTAAGCCAAGGTGTTAAAAATACAATTGGGCAGTGGCTAAAAATTACTGAGAATTCTAAATTCACAACAATAAAATACTCTGAGCCTGAAATAAAATTAGATATAGATATATGAAGTGGTAGTTCTTAGGAAAAGCATCTGGATTTGGATTTATAGTATTTTTCACTCCTTGGCTTGTAGCTTGCACATTCAGAAAAAAATTAAACGTGCTTCGATTAAGAAGCACCAGACTTTCTTTTTATTAAAAAAAAGTGCTGCAGTAATGTGTTTCAAGTCAATCTTTGTTACAAGAGGACAGAGGAACGCTGTTTGGGAAGTGGACATTGTAAAGGTTAATTTGTCAGCCTGTTTGGGAAGTGGACATTGTAAAGGTTAATTTGTCAGCCTGTTTGGGAAGTGGACATTGTAAAGGTTAATTTGTCACATCTGTTTACAAAACACATATAAAAAAGCTACCTGAACAAATGTCTTATTCTTGTCTGATTGGCTCCTCTGTCTGCAATCTCTGCAAATAACTTAGTCACACAGACACCATGGTTTACATAGGATGGGTGTCTCAGTTTAATTGCACTCTCCTGAGAGGAAGACTTAGCCAAAATGCTGTAAAAATAAAACTACTTTGAAAATTGAAGATATTAAAGAAAAACAATTGATGAGGAGGTTCTTCAAACTATAGATCCAGCTATTTGAAACTGGTGTTGGTGGTGTCCTGTTCTGTGAGAAGCACGAAAACAGAATATTCTCTGGAGTATTAGTAGGTTTGTATATTATTCAAAACCTATTTTTTAAAATGTCTTTAAAAACTTCAAGGCAATATACAATATCTTCACATTATCTTTAAAAACTTTCTTATTTATTAATATCTTACGAAGTGCAAACATTACACAGAGTATGAAAATGAATGCAAAAGCTTCTTGTTTCTAAAAACACTGAACTGCAACTTCCAATTTCAACAATTAATTTTTTGCAATATCTGTGTTATTTTCTCCCTAAATTAATCCTTTAAATGTTCTATAAACCAAACATTATTACAAGCGCATCTTGTAAATCAGCGCTTAAAATAACTTCATAAATATTCATTGTGCATCTCCTCCAACCACAGCATAACACTTTGGGCACAATTTAATCAGGTTTGTGGGAAGCAGGGGGTGGGGGCATGGCGTTTTTGGTCAATGACTGCATTTTACTGTCTATTGCATGCATCTTGTCCCCTTAATTATTTGAAGGTTTAATATGGGCGAAGGAAAACAACAGCATGAACTTGTAGCCCAGACTGAAAGCATGGTCTGACCTGTCCAACTGGCATTGAACAGTTGTATATTTCAGGAACTTTACCTGTCAGGTTCAGTTCTTTATAATTTAAATCATTTTTAAAACGATTTTATAACCTTGGTTCTAAAACTGAATGCAAAGGGCTTGAATTACCTTCAGGTGTTGGCACGCCTCTGCCTTGGGCTTCAGCCAGTCCTATTGTTTCTCCTGGGGGGGAGAAGTCTGCATCTTCTGATGAAAGGAAAGAAAAAAAAACTCTAAATTGATTTGAACCGCTTTTGTTCTCGTCTTTCAGGTCAGTGTTTGTATGTACCAATCTTGGCTGTGGTATCCAAAACCTCACAGTAGAAAAGATCCAGTTTGAATAAACGTTTCAGAAGCCAAGCGTACCAAGAGATTATCTCGGAGCAAATTTGGAAACTCTCCATGGGTCCACCAGTTCTCACCAAATTCTTCCAAGTGCAATTTATCTGGCGCAGAAAACCATTTCCTAGACTTTGTTCAACTGATTAATGATGCACTATAAGCTGATTCCATCATGGTTACCCAAATAAGCAATCATCAGCAGTCAGCTGACAGAAGAACAGGAAGCTTGGTTCTGTCTAGAATACAAGCATCTATTACAGATGAAGGAAAGGAAGTGAACTCCAAAAACATTGCTGAGGAAAGAGGTGAAGGCAAATTGGATTCTTAATTCGTTACAGCTGGTTTGTGAAAATTTAAGGAAAACAGTATGAAGGGGAACCAAAATGATTTAATGGGAATCACATTTACCAACACCAGAAAAGGCAGAGAAAAAATGGTTTAGGGGCGACCAAAGCATGATGAATTTTGACCTTAGGACACAGTTGGAAATTATGTTATATAAATCAAGATACTGTGTGAACGAAACAAGAGGAGCAACATAATTCATGGAATGAAGAAATCATTTTAATATACCAGCTACATAATATGCAAATATATGTAAATGCATAATATAGTAAAATCGGTAGTAACATATAAATCAGCAACCCTTACATTACAGTGTTGAAATCTAAACCTTTCCATCTTAATACCAGTTTGTAAATACTGGCTATTTGACTGGTGTTGCAAGTAGTGTACCAGCTTGGAACACTACTAATTACTTAGTGAAAACTAAAAATGAATTGCTTTCTTAAAATAGTACATAACTGCAAAGATAAAATGCAGATGCTTGTCAGGAAACATTATGTTTTTGTAAATTAAGTGCAAAAAACTGTTTTAAAACAAACAATAATTAGAATGCTGAATCTTTTCCTGTGCGAATATAACCCAGATAATTTAGATACCAAAATTTAACCAGAATGTATGTTCACCCCATTCATAAGAAGTATGACAAAAATAAATGTTTGATTGTATATTTTAAGATATTTAGAAAATATATATAAATCAATGCATGTGACTATGAAGCACCTCACATTTACAGCTGTAGCTTCTTGGGTCAGTCTGTAATTATATAGTGTATGACTTCCCTAATCTTCTCTGGAATGTGCCAGAGGGTCAATTATTATTAGATTAATAACTAGGCTATAATGTCATCACTAAATCAACACCCTCTCTCTGACAATTCAGATCTTCAAAATCAAGGAACAAAACAAGCTTTCAGGGCAATGTCATGTAAACCATCCATGAATTATTTTTTTTCAGTAAGTGATATAATTTGTTCATCATGGCTGGGAGTGTAATTATATTTTACAGCATAATTTACTAACTACTGTAAATCACAGAAAAATTAAGACAACAAACAACATGGAATAAATCACTTTGCTTCCTGCCAAAAACTAAGGCCTCAAATTCATATCACATAGCAAAGCAAAGCAAAGGGATTCTTTGAATGAATTCTCAATTCAATCATGTTAATTCCAGCATTAAGTTTGTACATTTTTTGGAATAAAAACTGTTATGGTACTCCTTTTCTACCCTGTTACAGAGAGGACTTTCATTGTGCAAATGTATTCACTGTGGTCACCACAGTATGTACCTAGATTAAGTTTTCTTGCATGTATTAAAATGTTAGTTTAGCATGTCCAGCTCCTAAGAAAATATAGCATGTTACTTCACTGTATAAATTCAAGCAGCACTATAATGTAATTATAATGAAACAATTACAATTAAACACTTTTTACATTGTACTGTAAAAATCTAACTGCATCTAAAGGGAATTAAAGATATCTGAAAAACTACAACCTTTCCAAAACCCTCTAGCATTACACATCAATGTACCTACACAGTGCTCATTAATTTAGAATGAATTGAGAATGCAGTTAATTCAGGTGGCACAGTTAAGGAAAAGACAATGAAGAGACAAGTAGGACTCTGACCAGTTTAAGGAAATAAGTTATGGAAGAACACTTCTTGACTGTATGCATCTAACAGTGTAGGCCTAATCTCAAATTAATCACTGGGGTTTGTTTTATAATGTGTACGCATCCTACCTTTGTTAGGATAATGCACAATTAGCATACATTAGGACTGGGAAAACAAGAGAAAAACTAGAATCTACACAGTGCTTTATTTAATATTTTATTTGAACTGCTTGTTACCCTCTAGAATGCTACATAAAGTCTCTCAGCTATGACTCTCCTAACATGCTTAAAACAAACATGTGACAACTTGAAATCTGACCTTGAGTGGAGTTCCTCAGTTTCCCAGGAGAATGCTACAAGATGAATGAGCTACTTTGCTAAATACTAGATAATTAAAGTAATTAACATTTAACCATGGTCAGCTTTAAAAAAATGATAATGGCAGCAGTGTTAATAAAATCAAACATATTCCTCTGTTATCTAAATCTTGTCACACATGGACCATCTAAAGAACGCCATTTAGAGAACATTATAACACATGACATGACACATTACATTTTTCTTAATAAAAAGTCCCCAGATACATTTATCCTTTCGATTAAGCGCAAGTGACATTTCAATTGGTGATAGACAAGAATGTTTAGAAATGCTATATTGTGTAAGGAGATGCAGAGAAAAGAGTGTCCAGCATAATGAGCTTGTTGTCCAGCTGTGTTTCACCCTTAACACTTAAGGGTACCTTAGGATGTGTCATCTCTATAATGCATAACGTGCAGTACAAGCACAAAACACCTCTGCCATTACATATCAGCCTATGGACCCAGAGCACCTGAACACAAAGCCCACAAATGAACTAACTTTTTCAGTTAACAACCTATTAAATATTTTTGCTGCTTCTTTTTCCTCAAACTGAGCATTGCTGACCCCTACGAGAGCCTACAGACATTCAGGAGAGTCCAACAAAGAAGCCTCTGTAGACCTGCGTTTCAGCTGTTAATCTGATTACTTTGGCTGTGAAGGATGTAGGGCACTTTGACCACTGAATCGTTGCCTTTCACTGAAAAATTCTCCCGTTGCAACATCCGGTGCTCCTGGCAACCAGTGAGAGCCACTGCTCCACAGGCTCATAAAAGAGAACGCAAATGAAAAGAACAGCAAAATCCTCCACTAGAAGACACCAGACCCTTGGCCCTTCAGTAAGCAGCTTGTAATCACCTTGACGTTTACTCTGGAGAGATATTACTGGGAGAACATTTTGACAACATTGCAGAAATAATTTTGAATGCTAAAAGAGTCAAAGCCTGCATATGCAAAGAAAAAGCATATTTTCCTTTTAAAGGCTTGCTTTCAGAATAGATAAGTTTCATCCATTTTGTTTTTAATTTCTGTGATACGAACCTATTAAACCCACACTCATATTATGTTATTTACACGTACTGTAGCACAGTCCTAAATGCCTTTCTCATCTGCTTGATATACAGTTCTGTAACAAAGTGTACTTTGTGGTTGGTATCCCTCAACACATTATAATGACTTGCCTTTGAACATTCCATAAGCCAAGGGTAAATGTTGTTTAATAATCAGGTCACAACTAGAAGATAGTTCTGCTAGTATACCACATCCTGTCTAGGATACCAAAGCACTGCTGTAATACGGAGCTACAAATTGCCTTTGGCCTACCATCAAGCTAATGGAGTCCTGATTTATTTAAATGTTGATGATACCTCCCAGTACACCCAAGGAATGCTGCAACTGGAACATTAAAAAAAACTAACAAGAAATGCTCTCCATGTGTGCAGATCATTAATGAGTTATCTGCTAGAAATTCACAATGCAGCTGTAGGGGATGAGCAATACGTCTCTGCCCGATGTCAGGGAAGCATACTCCTGAAAACAAGACTGCTAAGTGAGGAAAAATTCATTTCAAACTTTTCAAACTTTATATTCCCAACCCCAAATCTAACAAATTCTCCTCTTGCGTCCCTGTGGAACAGAATGTCCTAACAAATAACCCAGTATGGTGATCAGGGATACTGTGATGTAGGAGATGCTCCTTTGGATGACACAAACCTATCTCCTGACTATGCAGCCACCAAAGTTCCTATGACACAATTTGACAAAGCAGGAGTATTAACCCCCATGTCCTGGATAAATTCCACTTTGGGTTTGTAAAAATTGGTTTACCTAAATTTCCCGCATTTCAAACAGACTGGTGAAGTCAGTTTTCACTCCGCCACCTAATCTGTTTAGGGGGGCTGCCGCACATTACCCATACTACAAAAATTCAAGAAGGGAGGTTTGATAACATCCACCACAGCATTCTCTCCTCTACAGAATGTCTGTTTGTATGCCTGCCGTTGTAGAGACTCCCTTTTCTCACTTTACACAGCTTACTCCTGCATGCCTTACTGAATTGGTATCATACACAAAAACTACTTCCTGTTTGTTGGGCCCCCATTCCTTTTATTTTACTCCTGTTTCTCTGCCCTTTGCTCCTTAGTGCTTAACATAATAAATGACTCCCTGAGCTCTGGCATGGTATTGGTGGCGTCAGCTTTAAAAACTGCTGCACTCACACCAGTGTCTAAAAAACCCCATATGGCATTGGATGCCATATTAGGTAAACCTAACTGGTTCGTAAACCTAACCTGGCTTCCTGTCAGATTCGGAGTTGATTTAAAGCTTTCAAGGCTCTATAGGACTTGACTCCCCAGGAGCCGTCTGATATAGTATGTTATGTTAGTAATCCCCTCTGTACAACGTTTATATATTTGATTCTGGATTACTATCCATTCTAACTGTGCGGGTGACAGGGCCTATTCTTGCTATACCAAAAAACCAAACCAGAAAGAAATCAGGTACCCAGCACCAATTCTGTCAAGGGTCATTTCAAAGAGTACATGTATT